GCGGTCTGGCCCAGGGCATAGCCTCAGGTGGAGTAGTCTCATCTCAGGGTGAGCTGTTGGGAAAATACTCTTGTCACTCTGACTGCTGTCTTGTTTCAGACAGACGAGTTTAACAGGACAGCAAAACAGCAAATATGATTTAAAAGCAGTTGTCATCTACCATCAAGCGAAAGGGCTGATGTAACTCTGGCCTGTTCCCCCAGTCTCCAAGTTGTTATTCCCAGCCAGTCGCATCCATCCAGCCTGCAGTATGGCAAGCATTGGCTCACTTGCTTAAGTGTCCTCTTCCAGGATCCTGACTCATTTCTTTCTGAAATACTACTTGTGACCACAAAAGATTCCTATTCCGAAAATCAGTTGATTTGATATATTCCCTAACCTTCTCTGTCTTGCATGAGTTCAAGACAGAGAAAGGCTTAGAGGTAGAGACCCCCTGTATCTTCAACCCATCTCCTATCCTCCCACTCCCCCACCCAGTGTCAGACAACCCACAACCTCCCACCGAGGCCCTTGCTTCTGCAGCTACATCCCTACGTCAAAATACACGAATGTAACCCTCATCCCACCTGCCCGCCTTAGACGTGACAATCAGGAACCCCAGGAGCCAGAGGCATCCGTATCTTGCTTTTACTTTGAATACTCTGTGTACGATTCCCACTTCTAGACTTTGGCTTGAAGTGTTAGTCTGCCACAAGGACGTGCCATGTAGCCTGGGAAGAAAACCAGTAGATCTTTTTATCATTATTGCCTTGTCTCTCTGGGTCACAGAGAAGCAATAGCCTCAGTTCAAGACTGTGTTCAAAGGAGAGATGTCAAGACTGAGTTGTTTTCTGGTAAAGGAGGGATGGATAAAATATTAAATGCAGTCTTCTGTTTGCCCTCATCTTAGCATTTCCCAGCAAGTATCTCAGAGCATATTTCCACAGTTCTTTTATTTAACATCTTTAAAATTTGAAATTTTTCAGTTTTGGGGGAAAAAAATACTGGTTAATTAGTTTAATTGAAAACCCTCCTGCATACATTCAAGTGTCCTTTATGTCACACATGTGAATTATGCAGTTATGTTTACTAAAAGTACTAGTATATTTTTGTGAGTTTAATTTTAATCTCCTGCTGTTGAAGAGGACGCTGGAACATAATGCACAGAGCTGGTTTGGCTCTGAGTGATGCTCGGTGTTGTTTTAGTGCAGTCAGTAAAACTGGGGGCAAGGGAGGGAGGAGCAGTTAATTTGTCCCATCCATGTTAACTGTGTGCATTTCTTTACAATGTTATTGAATCTTTACCTCATGGCCGAGCAAGGGTTAGGTGGAGTTTTATTTTGCACCATTTTTATTCTACCTTTCCTGCAGCATCTGTTTACTCATGTGGGACAACTATAAGAACAGGGGAGAAGCGGAGATGTGTCCTGAATGCTGCCTTATGTTTGAAACAAGTTTGGAATAGCTCGAATATGTCCTGAACATGCTAACGCCCCAGAGGTCGTCTCTTCTGCTGCTCCTCTGATGGAAGTCGCACATTTGAGTCAGTTGACATGTGCCTGGCAATCTAATGTGATTTAGATAGATGTTCAGTGATTTGCCATGTGTACCTGGGGTTTGATCCAAAGCCTGGTAAAGTTGATGGACTCCCATCACTTCACTAGCCATTGCCTCACCCCACTACAGGGGACATGGCAGCGCTCCATCTTCTGCGTTGTCTTCTTCCTGCACGTGGCATCCTGTGGGTCTCTCTTTCCATTCTGTTTTGTGCGTGGTGGCTGCTAAGTAAAAGTTGCTCTGATGAGTATAACTTTTCAGTCCACACACATGCAAAGCACGGAGGAAATGAGTAGAGCCTACTGGAGAAGCCAACTGCTCTCTGCCGGCTTCCTTCTTGTCCTTGGAGATTTACAGCCTGCAGAGTAGAAATCATTCACCCCTGGCTCTCATAAATTTCAGCAGAACAGAGTGGGACTGAGGCAGCAAGGCAGAACAACAGAAGAGGGGACAAAGGAGAGGGAGGATACAATAGGGAGTAGAGGAAGGAAGTTGCCCAGAGCTGATTTAAACCATTTCCAAATGAAAGGGCAGAACAGACCGAAATGTAAATGAAATGTTTTCCTGGTCTAAAGCCTGTCTTCTAAATCCCCCTCATATTAAAAATAGAGAAGTAACTTGCTGTACAAAATGTGGTTCTGATGCACATGAGTATGGGCATGGTTCTGTAATAGGTTGGGTGTGGCAGGCCATGAAATAAAGGATGTAAACAATTTTGAACCATTTATGTTTTTATTAGAGCTTTTATCTTTGTAACTCTTTTATTAGTTACCATGGATACAGACAACACAGGGCTTGTTTGGGTTAATGAAAAATCTATCGCGCTGATAAAACCGTGATGCGTTTTTGACAAATGTGCATTACTTCAGTCCCACTATTCTTGACAATTAATTTGAACTATGTTGGCATTTTTGTAGATAATTAAAAAAAATCTGTGGTAATTCTTAGTGTGTGTGTTTGCCATATAGAGCATTGCAAATAATTTTAAGTACACTGCAAGACCAAACAAATGTTGGTCTCAAATTAGGGATTGTAATGACAGATATAAATGATTAGGCTGTCTATTTAAATGCTTGCTTTGTTTTCTGAAATTGTTTGTAAAAATTCACATTGTAAAACTAAATTACAGAATGTTATTAGATAACTGAGTGGCTTATTTTAATATAGGTGCTGCTATGAATACACAAAATTTGCTTTCATGTTGCAAATGTCACAGTTACTATACCAGCTATAAAAAATTATGATCTTTCTACCAAAAGTTCACTACTTCAGAAGATAAATGTAATGAATTTGATTTATATCATCTTCATTCCAGCTCCTTTGGTCAGCAAATGCAGAGCTATTATTAGCTCTAATGGTTTTAGATTATTAAAAACAACCCAACCCAGTTTTTTTTCACTTTTTCTGAAGTGACAAAATGAAAACTTGTCCATTAATGCTTTATTGGTGCTTGTAGTGAGTTTCTAGACTGACATACATGATAATACAGTATAGAGTTTTTATATATGATAATACATTGTAGAGTTTTTATTGGCATGAGTTTGGGATCTCCACCTTTGTTAAAAGTGCATTTGTCACTAGTCCAATGTTGTCTGTTATATGGTTCTCAATTTGTGGGAGAGGGAAAGGAGATTTCCCATTTGACGGTAAAGCAGGAAGGAATACACTTCTGGATCAGGTTGATTTAAAAGAATTGAAAGGTGGTTCTTTAGAGGTTTGAAAATAATGGCAGTGGCCCTTGTAGAAATGGATGAGCAGTCAGAGTACAGGTAGAAGCAGTCAGAGGTATGATAAATGTGCCTCTTTGCATGGCTTTGCAGTTTATCATGTGGATATTGCTTTTGTATATGTGGGATCTGTAAAAATACATGATCACATGGTGCTGCTCCCTGCTAAGAATGCAAAATGATGTGGCATGAAACCAGGATTCAGAGCACAGCTAGGGTAAATGGGCTGTGCATGGGGGAGGCCCCGAGGCTTGAACAAGGAATGAACCGCCCCTGCAGCTGCAGCACGTTCCCTCTGTGCAGTGAGATCTAGTGATTGAATCAGTGAATTCACTGTCCTTTCCCCCCCAAAATTACCCATGCTGGGGAGCTGAGAGCCACAGATCAAATCCTTGTAGTGAAATAGGGGTTGCAGGCCTCTCTCCCTCCTGCCCCACAGCACATCCATAGTCGTTCCATTGCATTCAGTCTTTGGGGATATGGAAAATAGGATTTACCTCATTGCAGTGATTTAATGATCAGAAAGAGAAGAAATAACTCGTAAGCAGAACAGCCATCAGTGCAAATCTGTCTGTTCCGGGAAGTAAAAGGAAATGCAGTAAGAGGAATCAACCATAATGTTCATACTGTGAATACAGCATCCCTCTCTTCAGTACTAAAATTGCATTAAGTCATGTTTATAATGTGCTAGAATGGAAAGATCAAGGTAAGTTTGGGTTTCAAAGACTTCTCCAACTTTTTTTCAAAAATTCCAGGAGCTTTGCAAAATATTTTAGGTCTTTTTAAATGTAATGTTTTTCAAATGACTTTATTTTTCTTTCTTAAAAATCAATCGAAAGCCACAAGATGACTTTCAAAACAATGGCTTCCTAAATGGAGGTAGATGACAAACCATTTGAAGTTCTAGTGACCAGACTTTTCATTCTAGAACGAACATTCCTGTCCCGGATCTGTGAATGATGGCCTCAAGGTCTTAGCTATTGGGAACCCGGCTTTCTTGGTCTAAGAGTGAATTTCATCTCTGTGTAGAGGGGTATAAACCTCGAGCCCTATTAGCCATAATTTGGCAAAGGAATTATTTAAGGTGGCTTTGGAAATATTTTTGCCATTATTTGTGTGCACCGTGTCATAGTAACAGACGTCCCCTCATGCCAGATTTCCCCTCCTGTATAATTTTGTCCATCTACCAGCAGAGGATTGATTGTAGCCTCTAGCAAGATTGCTTCAGTCTCATGCCACATTAAGCCTTTGTGTCTGCAGCCCAGAGGAAGATATCTGGGTCTCCAAGATTCAACAGCTGTTGGGTTACCACAGTAGCAGTATGTTAATAAACACACAGCACCCACCTTCTTTTAGTCCTGGGTGCAAAGAACATCAGAGAGGATTGCACGTTAGCTCTCCATGATGGTTTCATTTACTTCAACCAAACAGCCCCCTGAAAATGTTCTTGAAATTTATTGGGTCAGATATTTCCCTGGTATAATGCGACTGTTGAGGAGTTACCCAGGGCCAAGGCCAGGTCTTGAAAGCCAAGTATCCTTGCTGGTATTAACACAATGGGTGCTCACCATAGGATAGTTGCTTGTGTTTGAATGCTTGCAGGATTAGGTTCTTATCTTCATTTTAAGATTCTGAAAAATATTCCAGCAATTATAAGCCATAGAATCTGGAAACAAAAAACAATCTTCATATAGCTCTACAGCCTTGACTTTGCTTTGCTTTGCATTTCTTTTGTAGGTCTTGGGCATGTCCAGTGGAGGCCAGGCTGGTTTTGGGACTCCTTCATCCAGGCAGTATGCACGACAGAAAATAACTCGCGTAAACCTCAGGGATTTCATCTTCTACATGGAACAGGAAAGAGAAACAAGCCATTCTCTCCTGCTCTACAGAGCTTTGCTTAAATAAGGCCAAGAATTATACTGGTTTCCTCATAGAGAAGCTCAGCCTGCATTGAAGATCTGTCATTTTAATGTGCCTTCTATTTTTTTCAGATGTCAGTGTTCCAGTAATTTGTTTAGTAACATTGTCAGACCATGCAATAAATTTCCCTTATGTAAAAATAAAGCAATGAAAAATGTGCAAACGGGGGTTAAATCCACTGATGGGGAATCTGTGCTTAATGTCTTACTACATTTGGCCATTTTTAGATGAGGCTAGACAGTCTCAATGCCACTAAAGTTATACAGATTGTTAGGGCCAGATTGCAAAAGCATACCCAGGTCATTACATTGATGACAAGGGGCAGCTTGCAAGAAGATGGGCTTGCAGGATCCGGACCTAATCATGACATTTGGTTTTATTAGCAGTACATACAGTTGCATTGCTAGCTTTTCTGTTTCTTCTTACCTTTTATTAGTGCTGTTTTCACTGACTAACCAGTGATGCCTCGTTATTTTAATTAGTTGTATTTGCAATTTTTTGCACAGCTAAAAGAAATAGCCACTGCACACTCCTGCATATTTTACATAGGGTTTTTATTTTTACTGCACAACATGATGCTCATTGGCTGAACCAAATCCCAAGTGTATGAAATCTGTGCATTCGGGTCCCAGCTGACTTACCTTGACTAGCTTCCAGTTGTTTTTAAAATCTACTTAGCCTTTTGCACATTTGTAGCAGCTGGTTACTAACAGGAATCAAAGTTGCTTTTTTATTTAAAAAAAAATCTTAATTTATTTATTGTGAAGTGTACGGTTTGATGGTGGTTTAAAAAAAAATTGTTCAGTAAAGATTTTAGTGTGCTACCTGTTTTTTTCAAGTCACAGCAAAGGCATATTGTCAAGGGGCCAGCCCTGCTCATTGGAGCCCGGGGAACAGTGTTCAGTCCTAATGGTCCAATCCTGCAAGACTGTCAGGGTCCTCATTGAAGTGACAAGAGTTGACTTTACCTTGCATGGTTGGACCTTAAGACTCCAGTTCAGAAAACCACTGAAGTATGTGCATAACTTTATGTATGCAAAATTGCACGTGTACTGAAATGTTTTGATGGATTGGAGTTTTAAGGGCCTCAAACCAAAGCCAATTGAAGTTGGTGTGAATCTTTTCAGTATGCTTTGGCTAAGATAGGGAGTGAGCAGGTGGGCACCAATTATGCTTCAGACATAACAGTGTTATCTGAAACCATGGAAGGGAAACATTTGCTTATTTATATTTTTGATTTTTACTATGTGTTTATGCTTGCCACTTTTTGAGGCAATTATTTTTGGTTTTTTGTTTTGTTTTTTGATGGAAAACAATAGTGAAAGCACAAATAGAACTATTTGTCCAATAGTTTTAAAAACAAAAGTTTTAATTATTTTTTAAGGTTTATGAAAAGCAGAAGAAAATTTATACTGCTGCTATTTAGCCAAAAGATTATTCATAAGGTATTTAAGGCCAGGAAGTGTAAAATTATGTTTTAAATGTACTGATAATTTGTACATATTGTTTATAAAGACCTTGTGTTTATTAGAATTATGTTATTTTGATGATTTCTGTACATACTCGTAAATACCCCAATTTGTGTGAAAACATACTTCCTTATTTGTACTTCTTTTGTAAAGAAATAAACATTTACTAAAGTAACACATTTGAGTGACGCACAGTATTAATTTATCAAACAAGAATTTCAGTTTCACATTGTCTTGTAGTTTGTAAGCACTGTTCAGAAACATTTTCCAATAAAATATGGACAGAATATCCACAAAGAAATACTAAACTTGAATATTTAATGTTCTGCTGTGCTGATTCTTACTCTTTTTCAAACATCTGATAAAGTTGTCATCAGATGTTGAAGCTATTAAATACAGTCCAGTGACTGTATTTAAAACAGATTTGGCTAACGAGCACAACATAACATTCTTCTTTCACTTTTTTTTGTCAAACTTGGCAGTCCAGTGGTGTAGAAGGGTATATATAAAAGTGCTAGAGAAGACTGAAGTCCTTAAAACCACAATTTCAGTACTCAGCCAGAGAGAATCCAAACAATTTTGTTCAGTCAAATTAGATTAAAAAACAAGCCACGTTTACTTTTTAGTCTTCAAACTAAAAACATTCACTGTCTGCACACCACAGTTTTACTGGAGATACTCTGATAGTTTTATATGACTTTGAGCAATGATCTTGCTGAAGGTGCACTGGGTCAGACATTTAAAAAAATCAAATCTGTTTTGTTACTATTGCTGCTTTAGAATATAGGGGTAGACGTACAAAAGATATAAACGAAACTGTAATAAACTTTAAATAAGTGACCTCAAGTCACTAACTAAAAGAATATGTCCTAGCTTTACTTTTCTTTTTAAAAAGGCATATTTCTCCTAACAAAGTGATTGTTTCCACATGTCTTGCTTGCTTCACTGCTAGTTTGCAGTTAATGTTGTGATGTCACGGCTCAAACTTTCCATCTCAAGTTCACATTTAACTCACTTGGTGCAGTCTGGAACCTTTTATGCTGCCACCTTACCAAACTGCTAGAAGTAGTGTAGCTGCTTTATTGAGCTATAAAAATATGGTGATTACCAAACTGAGGAAAAACAAACTAACTGACCACAAATACTCCAAATGATTCTCTGCATACAACTAAAAGCATTCCTTGGGAGAGGACACGAGCGCCTTCAATTTCTAGTTCACATCAGGGGGACCTTAATCTTGCTGGGGCAGCTCAGTATCAACACCCTTATGATCAGATCCTGTGCAGAGACGATAACTACTGTTGCTTTGAGTGGAAATTTTGCTTGAGTGAGGAGAGCAGAATTGGGCCCGTATTATTGAAACATAATAGAGTTATGTAAGAACTTCCCTCCAATAACTAACTCTTAATGAACAGAACAGCATATGCTGAATATTCCTGCTCAGGATGTAAACATAAATTGTATGTGGTTAAAACAAAAAACTGCACTGATGGTTTTAAGGGCAATTTGACCTGAAATGGAACAAAATGTATCAAACTAATAAATAAATCTTCTTTTTGAAGGGATAGCTATAATGAACTGAGCGAAAGGTAAAGGAGATGCAATCAAACCTTCTTACCTGTTTTAAGAATGTGGGAGAGAAAGTGAGTGTTCCACCCTACTTGCTTATTTTTGATCTTTTACTTTACAGAAATGTTTATGGCATGAAGAACTGTATAAGAAATGTGTATACACAAATACATGACAATTATACGTTAAGTTTTTTACAATATTAAATGTATAATATACAATTCTACAGATATCTTACATAGGTGAATGCCGTGCCATCTATTCAAATGTGGCAGTACCTAGCAATTTTATTTAGTGTCATACGAGTATAAAACCACAAAATAAAATAGCTTTAAAACTCTTTAAAGGAGACAGATTTGCCCAAGTGTCTGGCAACTGTTCTGCTAAGGTAGCAGGCCAATGCAAGCATGTTAAGATCCTCACAAGAGACTTGTGTTTTCAGGTGTCCGGTTTGCGAAGCTGATATTCAGAGGGACCCAGGTGCACAGCACCATCCAAAAATCTGGCCTGGATACAGACTCCGGCTCGGGCCCCCAAAATCACTTGTCGCTTCTGAAAGCTCTAGTCCTCACCTCTAAGTCCTGATTTCTGCCTAATTAATCATTTGGAGTTAGAGACTGAGAACTGTCAAATATTGCTGACTGCTTCATACTCTTCCCTTGTTCTATATGGCTGTACTTATACATCTAAAAAGAGTTTAGTTAAAATTCAGTGTCTACAACAGTGTTCTATAAATTAATGTGGGAGAAACTAAATTGCGATTAACACGTGAATTAGTTATTGAGGACCCAATCATGCTAAACAGCAATAAACAGGATTTAGCAGAATGCTATTTATATACTTGCACCTGCAAACATGGTGCTGTCTCCTGAGTTAAGGAAGCTGCATAAGACAGAAGATTGATGCTGTATTCATTAAAGGAACAGTAGCCTCCAGTAGACAAAGGGCGGCTTTAAAGAGAAAAGTACATAGGCAGAGAGCAGGTACAGAATTAGTATTTTAGTTGTAGTTTCAAATTAGTAGAAAAGAATCTCCAAACAAAAGTTGGCCTGCTCCTGTCCGATTAAGGAGAAGAATAGGGTTTTAGCATCACATAGTAAAAATTCCAGAGCCATGAAGAGTAGGGGGCATCCAAAACGTTTAACATCACTTCTGGCATATGGGCACTAACCAGGCTTAGTATGTGAATAAGAAATGGGGAACAGAACTTGCTCAGCAGAATGACTGCTCCTCTGATAATGCAAGACTTGGAAACTGAGTTAAAGACAGCAAAACTGGCTTTAAAAGAAGGGTGTCAGGGGCCTGGGCTTACGTAGTTCAGGGTCAAGTGGCTTTACTTTAATTTGTGCTACCAGATCCCTACCTTGCAAAGTTTGCCCAGGATTAGTCTTGTCGATTGCTTTTAAAATACTGAGCACCAGATGACTATGACTTGGTCCCTTTCTGATTCTGTGGACAGAGTTATTTCAGTTGTAAATGTATAAAAATAAGCCATTTGCTAGCATGAATGAGTACAATCACAGAAGTGTAACATAACATATGGAGGTGGAAAGCACGTTTGATATGAGAGGTGTGGCATTCAGACAGGGAAGATATTCAGTGCAGTTTTTAATGTACCATCTTCCTTTTGAGGGCCTCTGCATCCTACATTACTGTGTCACTGATGGGAGAGGCAGTCGGGAAAGCTGTCAGATTCATTTCTTCAGCTGACGTATTCAAATTGCTTTAATAGGTCTTTCTGCAGAAGTCCAATCAAGGGTCAGTATGTTGTGAAGCTTTGCTTTTGTCAACATCACAGCTGCTTGGCTGAAAGTACGTTCCCACAAAGCCTGGTACGCTGAGCATGCTCAGTGATTTCATCACGAAAAACAAACAACTGGTTTTTCAAATGCATTTCATGGCTGGCTAGGTGACAGGTAGTTTGAGAATACCACTAATTGGCAACATAAAGTCAAAATTTGTTTGCTAATACTGTTTTGCAAATCCTTAGTGTTTCACATGAGGGACTATTAAACACTTCTACGGTTACAAAGGAGGAAAGGGGAGGTTCTAGTCCAGGGGCTCTTGCTTTATTCTGATCGTTGGGGTGGGTTGTGGTCTTCTGTCTTCACGACACAGCACATATTCACTGAACTGAGAGGAATCCACCCCACCGCCACATGAAGCTGCCACGTTAAATCCCTTCTGAAATAATCTTTCAAGCACCTGCAATGTGAAAAAGAATGCAGATTAATTTTGGCCAATCTGAATGTGATAAAGGCATCCAGGAGCAGTGGATGTGAATGATGCATCTGCTCTCTCCACTTCTCATAGAATGAATATTATACAGCTATAATTCTATAACTTATTCTTAAATGACTACACTGTGATTAAAGTCTCGCTTAAAGCAAACCTCTGTAGAAAACAAAAATTAATCAAACAAATAAGCACTCTGCCGGGCAGTTTAGTACATTATATAGTAAAATACTGGACTGCAGTGATATTGATGCTATCTCTTACTGGAAAGCAACATTAGGTTTAAGTCATAATAAAAAGTTCCCATTATTCATTATTAATATGAACAGTGTCAAGGAAAAAGGCTGCACCTTTGCTTCTTTGAGCCTTGCTCAGTATTCCAGTGCCACAAGTGGCCTTCCCTGTTGTTTTCCTACTGAAGTTCAGTTTTGAGGGCTAGAGAATGGTTGAGAGATCCAGTTTGTTATAAGAACCTCCCACAAATGCTCTTTTTCATATTTGCTTAGAGTGCTTTGGCAGCAGCTTTTTAGCCATCAGCCATGGCAAGCATCCATATGGGATAAAGCACCAAGGCAGTGGCCTCAAGCATCATCCAGGAACACAGGCAGTTCCAAAGCCCAGCCAAGGCAGTGGAGCACGCAAAGCCAGATCCCATCGTCCTGCAGACTCCCAGTAGGGTAGCATGCATGTGACTGAAAGTGGGTCTTGCCCCACAGCCCCATCAGGATTTGCTGAATAAAAAGGTGGAACAAGAATCCCACGCCCAGATGTGATATCTGCATCCAAATCCTCGCCCAGCTAAACCCTTCCCAGAGGCCACTACTGCCACACTGTAAAGCAACTTTTGACCAAATCCTGCCCAACCAAAGTGTCACAGAAATGATCTTCAGGGGAAATGCTAATACTAGCATGTAACTGAAAAGTCAGAGAAGCATCTTTTCTTTGTATGATTAAATGAACTGACACAATATTTATTTTACAGACAGGGAAAACGGTTCCTGCCTGTTCTACTACCTATAAATGTCACCAAGAGTGAGCAGACTGTACTATTCTTAGAGTATATAAAGGTCTCTCTCTTCACTGAGGTACCATATAAATCACCGTGTCACAAAGCCATGAAATCCTGGGTCCATTGCACTAAAACTCAAGGCTGATTATTTGTTAAAATCCAAGTCCCCCACAATATATTGACTCATTCACCAAGCAGGTAGGGACGTGCTGTTGGCTTATTTTAAAAAGTTGCTCATTTGACTAGATTTTTTGTGCCAGCAAAGCCATGTGCTTAGGGAGGGGAAAACTCAAGACCTTGCCCTGATAGAATCTATGCTAAGGAAAAAATCTAATTTCTTTTCATGCCTTGTTATGAGTGACACCATTAGGTGGATTAGGTTTGTAGTTACACGTACTAAAACCCATGCCAACAAATCTGCTTCAAGGCATGAGGGGATCACTATAGGGAGAATAAGAAATGCTATCTAGCCCCTTTGCCCTGGCCTCTTGCAGAGAACCACACAAATGGCAAGGTACATTTTTGAGGGTGCTGTTTCTTTTGTTCAGTTTTCTTTTTTGCCCCAGAAACTGCTCAGTTATCAGCATTTACTATAACAGGATGCAGAATTCAGCGCTTATTCCAGGATAGCACAGCCCCTATTAACGTCCCCACGGTCCATTCATGGGGATGTTCTTGTGAAGTCTCCAGTATTAGCCCGTATCATTTTCATTGCTTCCTTGGATTTTTGGCAGACAACTGGAGCATTGTGCTTGCTAGCTGAGGGATGAGCAAAGGAAAGGAAGTGCTCCTGCTAGCACAGCTTTGCCAGAGCCAGGCAGGGGCTGCTCTGAAGCAGCTTGCTCTAGGAGCACTGCCTGGCCTGGGGATAAGGTGACTAGTGTTCTCACAGAGTTACACGTGCCAGATCTCACTGACTTTTGCCCTGATTTTTATACAGTTTATACATGTCAGGAAGTGTCAGGATGGAAGGGAAAAACCACCCCAGCAGATGAAAAGAGGGGAAAAAACTGAGAAGGATGGAGTATTTAATGTAAAAGTATCATGCAAGTGGAGAAGGGAAGGATCCGGGTTCAGGCAGGTGTGGGAGCAAGCAGGGGAATGTAGCACTGATTATGATTTTTACTACCATTTGCCCTCTGGTTTATAAGGGGAGTAGTTTGAGCAGGAAGGAAGTCACTGAGTTGTTCCACTGCCCAGACTTTATTTACTTATTTTAAATATCCCGGGTCTTAAAGGAGGCAAGGTGGAGCCAGGAGCCCGTGTGCGCTGGCAGAGGTGTTTCCAATTAATTGGAATGAGAAAGGCAGATCTGATGGATCAAATCTCAATTTTCGATCAGATTCCAAAACCCAGCTAAAAACTTCCAACAAATCAATTTGCTTATAAACCCCCCCACTAGTACTGAGGTGCTTGGCTAAGCCCATGGGTATGGCAGGCTGCATGTTACAACATAAGGCTTTTCTTTACTGAGCCAGCTGTATAAAAACACACTAGTCAGGCAGACATTACATCCGTAGACCACTGCACACAGAACAAAGTGATTCCTTTGTGCTACCTGTGTGCTCTGAGGACTAGACTGCAGGCTACAATCTAGCATTAAAAACCAGGGGGTCATCAATCTTTTAGGCAGGAACCAAAATGGGTCACATCCTGCCACATTGCTGAGATTTTTAAATGTTTTTTAAGCGTAACATGAATAAAGTTCTGCCAAATTTTATGGGCCGAATCCCTGGGAAGCTGCCTCGGTCCGTGCACGTGAGTGCATGTTGCATACTTTGCGTGCCCAATTAGGCTGTGAGAATGGAAAAGTGAAAGCTACCTTTTGAGACCCTTGCTCTCTATGTTATACTTTCAAAATGTAAGATCCGAGAGGGCTGCAAATTGATGTGTATCACCGAGAGGATGAGCTAGAACAAAACTGAATCAGATCTACCACTGCCTCGTGGTATTATATTAAAGCAATATTGAAGAATAGATGAACGTCAGAGTTAAGTATGGTCTCTGTCAGGCGCACGAAGTGTGTGCAGACCCAGGCTGCTATTTTGTTGGGAAGGTCTCCAAGCAGAAATGTGATGCTTTAATTTAATGCATTTCATTTAGATTTTGCAGAGTGACATTAACAAATATGGTCTTAATTATGAAGACCCAGTGTTCAGCATTTGCCATTTTTCACAGCATTTTCTCTGAAGTGTGCTCAAATAATTCACAAAATCTTTTAGAAGTTAAAAAAAATCAATTGTAAGAACGGTCTTTACGTGAAGCTCCAGCCAGGAATCCTAAACTGAGAGCTGCCTTTTTTTTTCCTGGCTGTAATCGGCTACCATGTTCTTTGTTTCACATGTGCAGTTTCAGAGCCCTTGATATGAAACATTTCATGAAAGAACTTGAAAAAGTTCCAAAGAGTTCATAAATATTGCAGTAAGAAATGCTGTGCTCCCATATAGACCCACCAGGAATGGGGGGTACTGGAGTGAAATAATGGTGAAAACAAGTGTCTCATTAAAGAACAAGCAAGCATCATCATTACTCTTTGCTTTTCTGTGGAAATTTCTCTCTTCTCCTCACCACAAGCCCCTTCACATCTCTCCAAGTCTTTGTGTTTACATTCATGCCATTAGAATTTCCCTCCTCCGCGCTGCTCTGCCGAGTACCACCTGGAAAGGGGTAGGAGTGCCTCTGCCAGTGGAGGCCAACCTTTTTTGGCAGGTATGTCACAAGGTAAGCCCTGAACCCTCCTGGAGTGCCACTCCAATCCCCTTCCCCTGGCCGATCTGTCAAACCACTGGGAACTGAAGACATCCAGTACCAAATGAGGGGCACTGCTGAGTCTGTCTCTAGTTAATGAGGCTCCTTAGTTGTTTCATTTTTTTTCAACATTTTTTTCAGCGCACCATTCTGTGGCATTTGGATAATGTGCACTAATGAGGAAATAACCCTGCCCCACTCCATGCCTGTCAATCCCAAAAGTGAGATGGAGATGCCTCCCAGGCCCTGAGGCAGAGTGAGCACGCTGGGAACCAGGTTGTGAGTGCTCCCCGCCTCCCCATTTCCCTGGGTGTCCTTCCTCACCACCCTGTTCCTGGGGTTGATGTGCTGAGATGAGAGCAGCTGGGCAGAGCTTACTGCTGTGCCAGTGAGACTCAGGACCCTGCCATCACACTGTAGACATACTTTGTGTGATCAGACCCAGCCTAAATCTCCACCGCACAAAGAATCATCTCAAACTAGCCAAGGGCACTGAGTTCACCAGCTGAAGTAAATGGGAATATTTAGTCCTAAACCCAGATTTACCGATCTATCTGTATCTTTTCCAGAGAGCTTTAAAACAAAAGCCTTTGCTACTGTATAACGCATCAATGATTCGCATCCTAGAAAGAAGGAAGAACTGCTCATACTGGTGTTGCTTGCAGGTTAGTAAAAAGCATTTGTGTGTTTCCTTCCATACTGCTTCTGGGGAAGTTAGTTCTCCAGAAACATCCTACGCTGGCAGCATGGGAGACTGAGTCACAGAGCAGGCGAGGTCCTCTGCACCCCATTCCACCTCCCCTCTAAGGGCACATCCAGACGAGTGGGAACGTGCATTTCCCCAGAGACAAGCAGCAGTGGCACAACTTGTGCCGCTGCTGCTTGCCCCCAGGGGATGCCTGTGCCAGGTGTGCTCGGTACCCAGCAGGTTACCCCGGGTGGGGTAGGGGAGGCTGGCGGAGTGTGGCTGCAGCTGGCCAGGCTCCGGTGTTAAACAGTCACACTGCCGCACATGTGCCACTCTGCTTTTTTTTGGCATGGGTTTTTTTGACCCCAGGATCTCCTGGGATCAACCCCCCCACCACGCTGCAAAGTAGCAGTGCAGGGAATGCCTGCATGGGCAGTGTGTGGTGCGCAGATGGGTCTGCAGTGCCACGTACTGTATGCCCTAAACCGGGGGCATGCCTTGGGGGGAGACCACTATGAGGTGTGAAGAGCCCGCCGACCTAGCCAGTTGTTCTGGACATGCTTGTCCACTAGGAAATGGGCTGAGACCACAAAAGCATTTGCCACAACCCAGTTAGCAAAATAGCTGCAGATGGTTATAACTCTGGACTAGTCATCTACAGGCAAAAGGCCTCCTTTGTGATTACCTCTGACACAGAGCTGCCTGGGAAAAGAGACACCCAAAAGAAGAGCTCTTTGTGTGGCCTGCACTATTTAACATTGGCGTTAACAGTGTAGTCCGCACACTCCTTTCTTCTCAGTACAAGAACAGCCACAAACTTTCAGACCTTTGGCTTTCATGGGGCAAGGTGCAATGCTCTGTGCAAGACCCTCCGTGGCCACTGAGGCTGCTGCCTAAGGGACAGCCACATATTTATTCCCACTTCCACCCTATCTGTCCAGTTATCTTCCTTTGTTTCATATGTTTAATTTTAAACCTAATGTCAAAACTCTGAGTATAAAATGAAATACATTTTGTTTAAAATACTCTGGGCAATTTTTATAGAACATCCTTTTGAAAAAAAAAGTGCAGAGATCAATTTTTTTAAGTCCATCCCGCAGGCACCATCATTTAATTATGAGTGAGACATAAATTATGCATTTACACATTGTTGCATTTTCTATAAAATGGCGCAGAGATTTTTTTTTTTTTTGTAGTTTTTGGAACTCTCACTCTTTCTTCCTAGGGGCACTTTGGAGGAAAAAACTGCTGCAAGCTATACATTGATGAAAAAATTAGCATTTATCAGTATAACACCATTATGAGACCAGCATGGCACTAACGTACACAAAATCTAAATCTATTTTTCTGCTTAGACTTAGGAAAACCTGAAAGACTGTGATCTCACCAGGCAGAAAATGTCTCCTTGCAGTCTAAGCACTGAAGGTAATTGGGCAGAAGCAACTAATTTGCATATAATTGAGCAAGAAATAAAGAAACAGCAGTGAGATGAGATAGCATTGCCATTACCTGCACTGAATTCAACCGGCAGTATCCATTCAAAGGAAACCTAATGACGTGGGTCGGGTCTTGGTTCCAACCTGCGTTTACAGAGTTGCACATGACATCCCCAGTCTCAGGGAAGATCTCTTCTATTAAAGCTTTCTCCCCACTCAGTGCAATCCTTTCCCCGAGATCTGGAGTCACTCTTACAACCAGGCAGTCACAAGGCTGGAAATGTTTCCTTTGTTCTTTCTCTTGTTTCCATCGCTCAAGTTCCTTAATCATTGGCTGCAGCTGGTAATACTTTGCTTCTTCATATAAAAGATTAAAGTCCTGGAAAAAAAAAGAGACTAGAAATGCTTATGGTTCTTTTTTAAAATGAGTATCGTTCCCATTTGACCTACTTAGGCTTATAAAATTGTTAGCAACAGTGCAAAGGCAACAGGTATCTAAACAGTTTATCTTCCGCTTTTCCTTCATGATACCTATGCAAAGCACTGCACTGTGGAGCAGTTTTAAGTATACTTGAAAAGAGGGGAACATTTCTATTGTACTGAATCATTCTCTCACATTTGCTACCCCATAAGTTCAATGTCAAAAGGCTTTTCTTTTTGATTAAGAAATCCCAAGTTAACTGGCTGCAGTAAGCAGGGCCTGCTGATCCGAGCCGGCCCACAAATTTTGTGGCCCCCTGCAAGATATAGTTTTGGGGCCCCCCGATCTACTGAAAAATCAAAATTGTGGTATAAACTCACTGAAATAAAATAGTCAAGGCCGGGCTGTGTGCACGTGGGCTGCGCTGTGGGGGGCGTAGGATGGGGGCAGTCCATGCTAGGGATGCCTGGGTTCCCTCCCCAGAGCTGGAGCAGGAGCAGAACCAAGATTTCCTCCCGCGCTCAGCTAGGAAGGGGCTCCCTGCCCACATCGAGCCCTTTAAACATGGCACAGGCAGCGGGGGGCGAGCGGGGCATGGCCCCTTGCGGCTGCAGGTTCTGGCAAGGGGCCCTGCAGCCAAAGGCGGCCGTGTCTTAAATGAGGAAACTGATTCTGAACCATTTGGTTAAGAGGAAAGAGCTTTTTTTCTTTATTCTGCCCGCTCAAAACAAGATGCTTGTCTTTTTGGGGATATGCAAATCAATACAGTAGCAAATGTGTGCCTACATTTTACCACATTACATGCATCCCTGCGTAACCATGCGGCAGTAACTCCGCTCAGGCTTTCACTTTAGCCCCTTCTTTTCTGTGCACTTTAAACTCAGCTGTGAAAACTCCCAAGAGGCCAAATCTGCAGTGCAACCAGCAAAGGCCTTGGCAGCCATTGCCTTAAAAACAGAGAAATGGAAAACCCAGGCAGTTTCAGTACAATGCAAGGTGCATGCGTGTGGCCAGGAGCTTGGTTGTGGACTCTGCTGGCTTTAATGATTTAAACAACAAAATATATTTTTGCCAGCCATTTGTCCATCATGTGATTGGTTCTTTTAGAATAAATAAAGCAGCTCAACTAATGGACAAGCATATGCTTACTAGCCACTTTTCAGCAAAGGTTTCCGATTTGTTCTTCCTTTTCAAACCAGACCCCCAGTGTACAAGGGTGCAAGGGGCCTGGCAGGCAGGGGAAGCAGCAGTGCTGATCTAATCCAGATGCTAAGATTCTTCCCTAGAGCTCATTAGAGTGGGAGATACAGGGGGATGTGGCTTGTGTCTCCTACCTCAACTACCATCTTCAGTCTTGAGAGGGGGAAAATGGAGAACTAAATATAACAAAAATAACCATTCCAGAAATAACAGTAACTCCTGGGCCTTTGCACCTTCCATGAGAGGGCTTGTAGTCGATTATGCCTCAAAAATCCCTGTTCAAATGACTCTCATACATAATGCTATTCTGTGGGACAGAGACTTAGCAACTTTTTCAGATTACTTTTTCAGCCAGCTCCTAGAAATGGAACCCACAAGTCCTTTGCTCCACTAACTAGAAGATGCTCTGTCCCCAGAAGCACGGGAGGGGAATGCATACTCATGAGAGTGAAATTAAAGAGATTTACAGCAAAAGCTAGTGGCGTTAAAACAATTCTGGATACTTCTCTAGAGCCATAACCCAGGAAAAAATAGACTACAACAAAATGAATGTACCACTGATAAAGGGTGTGACTTTCAAATCAGCCTGTAGAATCTGCTGCTGCCGGACTGTATTGAAGTAAAGTATTTAGCAATGCTCGTAACAGACTGGGGTCAAATCTGGTACTGCAACTCCACTGTTGTTGCTACAGCTGGATATGCTCTTCCTGATTATAACCAAGAGAGATATGAGTAGGCTAATGAATATGCACCCCGATATATAAAGTTACACACAGGGTATCTGCACCCTTTGTTGCCTTTTGAGGTTGACTCGTGCACACAATGGGGAGGGAAGGGGGATGGAGGATCACAGGGAGCGAAAGGAGTAAGTGGATAGGGATTGGGAGAAGACGTGAGGACAGCAGTGAAGGAGGAGACCTACAAATAACATGTGTTGGCAGGAACGGCACTGAGCAATATCGGATGAGATGTACTACATGGAAACTGGATTTATGTGCTGGTCCACAGGAGGGAAGACAGCTGAGTTGCATAACCGTCCTAAGGTAAGAGACCAGCCATGGCAAAGCTGTGCTTCCATGTGGTGGGGGCTTTGTTAGACACCACGGACTACAGGTCTGGAAAGTACTTTCAGAACCGCTTTTTGGACTCTCTCCCATTTAGAAACATTCTTGAAATGAAGCTCGACAGTGAATTTATTTTCAAAAGTAAACACCCTTTTGTGAGCCAGCCCTGCTTCTTGGTCCACACTTGCAGAATTCCCTGAACATGAATTTGAATACACAAGGGATCAGTCTAAATCTACAGGGATTACCAGTCTGCATTCAGAAGGCTCTTAGAAACCTTATGCCCAAGGCAGGCAGGAACAGCTCCCTCCACACACGGCCCTCTCCAGCACTCTCTGACAAAATGGTAAGTCTCCCGTCAACAGCATCTACCTCTAGGTGCTCAGTCTACCTCTGGGTTTATTTTTGCTCATGGTCACTATTAAAGAACATGCTGTTAATGGAGCCAATATTAGCATTCCAAGGAAGAAATCACAAGACTATCACTGTCAGAAGTAGAAAGCACTGTATAACCGAAAGAGCCTTTCGTTTAGTCCTAATGCAATGATGCGAAGCCATTCAGTTCAATGGGCGTCTCTGCACTGACCTCACTGGGCTTTGGAGCTCACCCTCAGTATCCAGAATCAGAAAGGCACAGCTGTATTTCTCTGTGGGCATGTGTGCCCTGCCTAGAGTAATTGTAGGAACAGATGGGAGGTAGTTGCCTTAAGAGCAGCAATAAGTACTCACTGATAAACTCCTTGCCTCAGGTATGCTTAGCGGCATGTGCCCAGCACTGCTGTAAGGGTGGCTACATCGCACCCATTCCAGGTTTGGCCCACACAGAGTGGGTGTGCTGTGCTGCACTACCACGGTCTGGGGCCAGTGCAGACATGGCCTCAAGAGTCCTCTGATCCAACAGTAACAGAAACAGTAACAAACTAAATCAGGATCTGGCCTTTTTGTTAGCCGCAGTCTAGATTCTACTTGCGACGTCACCACTGACTACTCACCATTGGTCCTACGCATTTTTTGCTTAATCAGAACACAAATAAGATACGATTCCAGCCTCGGTGACTGCTGTGATTAGCCAGCAACCAGTTTTCAAACTCAAAGTGACTCCTTCCTTTCCATAGCCACAGACCCTTGCTCACGTGAGGTTAGTACTATAGGCCAACTTCTGCCTGCACAAACACACTCATGACAATCAAAGGTTTACTTTGTGTACAAAAGTGTGCACCCAACAGTTCAATTCTTGGGCTTGGACCAATAATGTGTAATTCTTTTATTAAACCGCCCCCACCCCCACAAAGACAGAAAACAGGTCCTCCTGACCCCTTCGTTGCATCCCTACTCAGGCTAGAATTTAACACAGCACAATTTATTCGGTAGTTCAATCTTACAACTGGTTTACTGCATAAATCCACCTGAAAGAAAAGGCAGTGGAAAGGTTTAGGATCCCTCGCCTAGCACAAACAGCTCTTCCTACTGCACGTGTGGTGTGGAGGGAAGCTGTCCAGCCACTCCTCATGCCTGCAGCTCCAGCAGTAGCAGTGAGGGGAGTGGGTGTCCTGTCCATCTGCAAGAAGATAAGGAAGATTAAAGAGAACCCTCTTGTGCAGAGAATATAATGCTGCACCTGACTATAACCCTGGAGTCCGAAGTCCTCTCGAGCCCACAGCACAGTGGCAGCGCAAGCTTGTCCATGCTAGCCAACTAGTTCAGAGTCAGCACAAGTTAGTCCATTCCTTACAAATGAGCAGCAGTTGGTTCCTGTAACATAACAAGCTGTAGCCTTTCTCTGCCTCGTGAACCAGGCATCACTAATGAACGGGCATAAGTTTTTGGCAGAGGAAGGAACATCACAAAGATCAGGACCAAAGGAAACCCAACTGACTGCCTGACTCTCCACTGCCTTGCACCTACTCAGAGACTGCAGCCTGTGCACCCAATTGCTGACTTCCTCAGATATGGCTGGCAGTGTGCTTGTGAGTCAGAACCACCCTAAGATGCACATTTTGCATTTTGTGCCTTTTATATTTCACTGGCAGTAGGAGAGAGGAGGAGAGGCTTCAGGGTTGGGATCTGCTCCCATTACATATCAAAGCCAGTGGGACTTCTTGTGGAGTAAAGGTGTGCTGGCTGTGAGTAAAGAGCTGGCCAGTCATCCACGCTCACCCTGATAAGAGCATCCTTAAATATGGTTATGCCAGTGTCACACAAGGCTGAGGAATGAGGAAGGCTGGCTTTGTGGCTCAGGGGCTGCACTTGGCTTCACCAGCTGTGGGTGTGACTCACAACAGGTCACTTCGTGTCTCTGTGACCAACAACCTAATCCAGAAAACGGGAATACTAATATTCCCTTTCCCCCACGCTGCCCCTGTGCTGCCTATTTAAATGTAAAGACCTTTGGGCCAGACTTGACTCTGGAATATGGATTTATAAGACCCAGCACAATGGTCTTCCCATTTTGCTTCAGGACCTGTGGTGTAATATGAGCCCCGAGCAGTATAAAGACACCACATTTTGGTTATAAATGAAGTAGGGAGATTCCCATAGCAGAAAGGATCTTCCTTTTAGGATAAACCCTGCCTCAGCCACCCCTTTCTAAAGTACCCAACATGCCAGATTGGGACAGGGGACATGGAGGGTTGAGGGCTCCTCTATGCTGTGTCAATCTTTCATTTAGGGACAGCAGGCCGATGGCTTACATTAGAGCAGTTCCTAGGGTGATGTGACTCACTCTGGCTAAATTGGTGCAGGGCTGGAGATCCGTATCCAGCTTCCTACCTGCTCTCCACCTCCCCATGCTGAGGCAAGGAGGGAATTGTAATGATAACTTTTGGATTTTAATTATACTGGTAATTAAATTAATCATTGCATTAAATTAATCACAACCGTTATAGTGTCTGAAGGCTCATTATGCTGTATATAAGAGCCACAAAATAAATAAATAAAAACTGCATAAACTGTTAGGAATGTTGCTCTCAGGAGGGAGACCTGTCAGCTGCAGAATACTTTCATGTCTTGCCTTATTAGTAATTGGATCTGTAGTTAATATTCACCGTAAACACACCAGTCAGACTTGATAATAAAGAATCACTAGCCTAGGAACACATACTCCACTTTCTCTGCATTTCAGTGTTAACTCCATCTGAAAACAACACTTAAATAGAAAACACAAAAACATTGGTGTGGTACTAACATCCCAAACTTTCCAAAATAACCAGCTGAGCAGCAATTCAAGTTGAAAAGCAACTTGGCTGAACCTGCAGGCTAATAAACTACTTGATTAAATTAAGGGGTAAAAAACTAATAAATATTCAAAACGCTTGATAATGCTTTGTTTGACATAAAGAACATTTAATGCAAGTCTCGCTGGAAAACCTGTCAGGTTTTTATACCTCAAATAGTGTTTTGCATTTAGAAACACCAAACGATTCCATTTGCAGCCTTTGATTGTTGTCTTCTGTCACTTTAATCATGCTGGTAAAATTACAAGATTTCTGTGAAGTCAAATCCGTTTACAATGCAGTTTTAATACAGCTTTACAGTGTGTTCTTCTACACTTTTTTATTTAGTTACTCCCTACCTAGCAATGCTTTACTTTGTTCCCGAGCCCTCACTACCCTGGGGTTTACTTTAACTAATGTTCTCTCAGGGAGGATCAAAATAAACCAGAACTAACCGTGCCCAAATTGGCAGTCCAAAGGGCAGACTGAACTCTGTCCTGAGCACACACTCCAGCTCTGCCACAGTCTCACGGTGCAAATAATGCTCACAGTGAGAACTGATGTTCTCACATCCAGGCTCTTGCCAAATCCTGTTGGCTCCTGTCTCAAAGCCTCTCTAAAAATCCAACCTCCTAAGTCTCAGCCAATACTATGACCATTTCTCACAAATATTATCACCTCTTATGAAGGACTGTCGCCTCCGCTTTGCACCCACCCATTTATCCAGAACACCTACCAGTTGTAGCAAGGTACTTCTCCACTTGGCTCCCTTCACTGCCTCTCTCTTACCATCCAAAAGAACTGGGTCTGCAGCTTTCTGGTGCTGTAAAATTCCTACTTGCCTCTCTTCATATACTTCCCCCACTTGCCTTTTTGCTTTTTCCACCCTGCTCCGTCCCCTCCAGCTTTTCTCCCCTTCTCCATGCTCCTTGAATTAAGCAACCACTCCTCCAAATAGCTCCTCTAGACCACATTTCTTGTACGAAACTTTTATAGCAAATAATCACAAGAGACTAAACTTCCCTATATTGAACTGTATCTTCCGACCCCAGTTTCCACACTATATATTGTGTGTCTGCCTTGCATTTTCTGTCCAATTTAAATGATAAACTCTTTGATGTAGTGGCCATGTAAGCATATCCTCATTATATAAAAAGACCCAACCCTTAGTTGTGCAAATAGGGCTAAGTGTTGGCTTTCAGGGAGGGAGATGAGTTATTCTCTCCATTCAAAATCTAGTAATGATCCTCATCTAAGAAGCTTAGTCATCTGAGGAATGATTCAGCCAAGACTTATTATCTTGCCCTGCATGAAAGTTGAAATCTCACTGGAAAGCTAAGGCAGATTCCTTTGCCAGAGACATGCAGCATGTCTAGCAGCTCCTGAATGGGGAGGAAGTATCATTTAACTGTAGAGTCGGATCTCTAGCTGACACTTGTCACCTACATTTGGGATACTGTTGTCTTCTCTTTTTTATACATGTGTATAGAGATAGCATTAATTCTGTAAATCCAAACACAGCGCTACAAGGAACAAATGTAACATCATGAGAAAAATGTATCATGCTAATCAAAAATTCAAAATTAGCAAAATAAGATGCAGTTAACATATTTACTCCACAGAATCCCCTCAATAAACTCCAGCCCCCTGAGACCATTTTGCCTTTCATGAATTGAGTTAGGGATCATTCCTTGAAATCCAAATGTCCTCACTAGATGCATCTAATAGAAATCCTCATGGGTTTATTTAACATTGCTATTTTAATACCAATAAGAAACAGATTTTTGCAACTTTAATTCCTGTAACTATCAAATGTAAAACATTTCTTTAAGATGCTGAACATTAAGCTATGGTAAGTGCTAGCTGCTGGTGCCGCTTCTTAATTGTTGTTATACCCTGATAAATAAGCTAAAAAAGTGAGAAAATAAAATTAGTTTAGAAAAACTGATTTAGCCGTGAGCTTCATCGTTTAGCTTTTTATGGTATCCATGACAACCACTGGTCCATTTATTAAATGATAGCATCCCCAGTGTAATACACAAGTGCAAAAAATTCTAACAATAAACAGCAACATTTAGTTAAGTGTGTTTGGGTCAAGCACACAAACCGACCCGCACCAAAATAAATGACTGAATAGGAAAAAATGGATTGTGCACTATGGCCTCCCTTACCTTAAAGTCATCTGGGAGTAGCAATTTAGATGTCCTTAGGAAGCTTAATATATATCTGAAAATTTCACCATCTCGATCAATGAAATAATGTTGTTTTAAACTGTCCAAGACAATAGGCTCTGTGCCGTTAAACAGACGACTTATTCTGAAAAAAAGAAAAGAAAAAAAATTAGCAAAAGAAAGAGACAAGATTTCTATCACACCCTCAAGACTTAAAAACAGTCTATCCAATTCAGTTATATTCGTTCAAGGTGCATAATGTTAGATTACTGCATTACCTTAATTCTATGACACATGCAAACAGGTGCACGATGATCAGTGTTACATATACACAAACATACAAGCATATGCAACTCTCACACATCTGTACAGACACATATTTGTAGTCAGGCCCTATCCTGCAGTTGCTCCTCAGGCAAAACTCTCATTGACCAGAATAAGGGCTGCAAATGAGGCCCATGATCCTGACTGCAGAAATGTCTAAGACGCTTTTGCCCTGCAGTGGACTACGCTTGGCTGATCTGGATATGGGTTGCTGACTATGCAAAAAAAATCCCTGTTTACCATGTATAGCTCATCTAGAATTGAACTGCTGTTCTGGGATGAGTCGCTAGCCAATAGGTTTTTCCCCAGGTTGGCTGTCATTAGTGAAAAATCATTTATGTTTTAGAGAAGTAATTTAAATTAGCTAATTTTAGCTAGACAGATCTCAGTCCATCTAAGCTTTTGATGTTGGATGGTTTAGATCAGGGTGTCAAACATGGCTCCGCGGAGCCCCGCAATCCAGCTCCTGGTGCTGTCCCTGCGTCTGATCAGACCGACACAGGGCACAGCCTGGATCCAGCCCACAGACCCTCTTCTGCTTCCCTCTCCCTCTTCCTTTTCCCCTTCTCCATTGCATGCAGGCCAGATGAGGGGCATGGGGCTGGTCCACAGGCTGGATAAGGCCCATGGAAGCTCTCCTCTTCTTCCCTCGGCATAGCTGATCCGGTGGCTGCTCCAGCTGATCTGGGACCTGCACTAGTGAGGTGCAAACCCTGGAGCAACCAGATAGCACCACATGTGGTGCCTACTGAGAACAGCCACATACTGCACCTGCTCCATCCAGTCCAGGACAGGCTGGACCAGGTGCTTCACGCAGTGCAGTCCTGGAGCAGTCAAGGTGGGCACCGCATTGGCGCATTCTAGCTAAGGCAGCCACTGCATGCAGCACGGCTATCACTTCAGCTGGACTATGCTGCATGCAGTGCCCATACTAGCCACTCTTAAGATTCATGCTGCATGCAGCGCAGGTCCCGGACTGGTGGGAGCAGCTGCCAGTTCAGGTATGCTGGGGAAAGGGGATTGGGAAAGGGTCCATGGGCCTGATCCGACCCATGGAGTGCCCCTATGCCACCTATCTGACCCATGGGGCCAAATGTGTTTGACACCTCTGTTTTAGACAATTGAGTTTTGCAGAGCTATGAACGGATCATCCAAGTTTCTGTAGCTATTATATTTGAAATTGCAGTGCTGTGGCCAATGTACTGACTACTGAAAGACAGATAAAGAGAAGTTATTTATTGGCAAAGAAAAAGGATTTAGATCTGACACCAAATATCCGATTGGCTAGGTATAAAGGTGACCAAAATGTTAGAAAAATTTCCTTTTTCATGAGAACATAGTCTTGGTCTCTTTAAAGTTCTGAACAACGTACTCCACGGGAAGAGACCTGGGCATTTGCTTGGCTGGCATTCCCTCTTCTTCACACTTCTAGTTTTTCCTTCCTTGAGAAGTAACACATTTGTGTATTCTTGCAAGCAAAATTATAAAAGAAATAGACAGAAAAGACCTACTGAGTCCATCTCCCTGACAAGGCAGCACTGTTCCCTACTGCAGGGTTGCTACAGTGTTGTGTAGTTTTAAATGTCCCAGCTATTGGGAGTCCTGTTATTTACCTATAACACTATTTTACAACACTTTGGATTCCACTGTCAGAAAGTTTCCCCATAGATTTAATTTAGCTATGTCTCCTGTACTTCTAGCTATACCAAGAAGCAATTTTCTCCCTTCTTGGCACTTATGCTTTTAAAGTAATTGCAACAACTCTACCCTTAGCTAATCACAGTTCCCAAGTTACACTGTGCACAAACATATTTGCTCCTTCTTTAGCCAATCTATAATATAGAATCATAGAAAATTAGGGTTGGAAGGGAGCTCAGGAGGTGATCTAGCCCAGTATTTCTTAACTCGTGGGTCATGACCCAAAAGTGGATCGCAAGAATATATGAAAGGGTTGCAAAAACAAATGAAAAATGTGGGAAATTGACTTTTCCCTTGCAGTCTGGCAGAGTTTCAGCCTGCGAGGGGCCGCTTGGGGCCCCCCATGCCACACACCCACCCTCTGGCTCCCACCCCCAGCCCCTACCCCACACAGTAGGGAGCTGGGCATGGGAGGCAGTGGGTTGGCAGGGAAGGGCACTGGGGCAGGACAGGCCACTGATGATTACAGATGGGTCCTGGTACAAAAAAGGTTGAGAACCAGTGCTCTAGTCCAACCTCCTGCTCAAAGCAGACCCATCCCAACTAGATCATTCCAGTCAAGGCCTTAAAAACCTCCAAGGATGGAGATTCCACAACCTCTCTGGGTACCCGTTCCAGTGCTCACCGCCCTCCCAGTGAGACAGTTTTTCCTAATATCCAACCTAAAGTTCTCTTACTGCAACGTGAGCCCATTGCTCCTTGTTCTGTCATCTGCCACCGCTGAAAACAGTCCAGCTCCGTCCTCTTTGGATCCACCCTTCAGGCAGCTGAAGGCTGCTATTAAATCCCCTCAATCTTTTCTTTTCCAGACTAAATAAGCCCAGTTCTCTCAGCCTCTTCTCATGAGTCATGTGCCCCAGGCCCCTCACCATTTTCACTGCCCTATTCTGGACTCTCCAATTTGTCCACATCCTTTGTGTAGTAGGGGGCCCAAAACTGGACACAGGACTCCAGATGGGGCCTCACCAGCGCAGAATAGAATCGCTTCATTCGATCTGCTGGCCACGCTCCTCCTAACACAGCCCAGTATGAGTTAGCCTTCTTGGCAACAAGGGCACACTGTTGACTCATATCTAGCTTATCATCCACTGTAACCGCCAGGTCCTTTTCTGAAGAGCTGCTGTTTAGCCAGTTGGTCCCAAGTCTGTAGCGGTGAATAGATATATGCAAAGATCTTTTTTCTAACCTTTATGCATAAATTAAACTCTTCAGCCCACTTTATCTTTTTCACTGCTCTTGGAACTTCCTAATTCATCAATAGCTCTGATAACAATTTGCCCTGAACTGACTGTGATAATCCGGCTGCTACTGCCCATGATGGATACCTTTGTGTCTGCCGCCCAAATCTGCACTGCTTTGAAAGGCTGCATTGTACTTGCAGCTGATGTGTAATTTGTTCTTCGCTATCACTCCTAAATCAGAAGTTCCTCACTCCTTCTAATTTAGTATCATCTTCAAATGTAATTAATGTCTCATTTATTTCTATATTAACTATGGAATTATTAAGTAAGACTGGATCTAACGCAATTCCCTGCTGTGCTATGTCTGCTACAAACTCTGCAACCCCAGCTTGGATCCATACTTTGCTATTTACCATTGTCTTTTGTTTATTATCATTAAGGCCAACATCAATACTTGTGCAAAGTCTGTATCCTAGGTGGTTGGAAGTAATGAGGAAAATATATGAAATGCTTTCCTAAACCCCAACTATGTCTACTACTTTGCCTTCAATCTTTATCTTTGCAACTCTACCAAGAAAAGCAGTTTGCTTTTCCTTGCCATGTTTATTCTATGCAATGCAGTATTCCAGAAACCTCCAGAAGTTGAATTCATCTTTTATTTAATCTTTATGCCATTGTTTTCCTCTGTAATAATTGTTTTACTAGGAACGATCAGGGCCATTTATCTCAGATGCTATAGACTAAATAGACGCTGTGTAAGTGTTAGTTTTTAGGTCAGGAACTAAAGGGTTTAATTGCACAAGGCACCCTCACAAGCTACACTGAAGCCTGGGTTTTTCCCGGTTAAACTGGAAACGATCAGAAGTTCAGCGATGTTCGAGGCTGCACTTGTTTTGAATTAAATTTGCCTGGCGACAGAGCAGTTCTGCGAGCTCCTACAGGTAGGCTGCAGCTTTGATCTTCTACCCATTGGGAGCCTTTCTTCTGTGTTTAAAAAGGTGCATGAAGGAAATCCAGTGGCTACTCTCCAGGTTTCTGGTACAAGAAAAGGAGAATGTTTGTCAACAGAGGAGGGAGGCAGGGAGGCTGGGATAAAGGATTTCTAGTTAGGTTGTGCTTAATGTAGTGCAGGATTGTTATTGTACTGAAAACAAAAGGTGAGTTTTCAGGCCTCTGTGGATTGCCTGCGGCATTATTTCTTCACTTCTAAGCATTGAAAGATTTAATGGCCACCCCAAAACCAGAGTGGAGCAATGTTGTGAGGATTTGGCTGGCGTTTCAGGGGGCTGTTAGCTTCCAGGAAAAACACTTCCAAGCACCTCCTGCATCCAGAAGGTGTTTTCCCTTGTAACCAGCTTTGCACAGGCAAACTCCACCTGTGGGGAGTCAGTCAGAGGAAGACATGCTTCCCAGCACCAGGTGATTTCAAAGAAAATGACAAGAACATTTGGCTTCAGGTAGAAGCCCTACACAACAAGTTTGCTTGTGACGTGTTTCTATGAGGAGCATTAGAAAATTGCATGTGTTAGCAGCGCGCGCAAACTGACATTTGATTTGTTCACGGGCTGCAACGAAACAAAGAGTTATGCTGTTCAGTAAAGGAACAGGGTAATGAATAAATACATAGCAATTTAGGGAAACGATAGCACACACAACGCCTGTCTGTAAACCGCAAGAATTATGTGTATCCTTTACAAGACTAGACTGAGGCCAGATCTGCAGACATGTATATGACTGTGCAGCAACAGAGGGTCATGTGTCTTGAAGCACTGTGCTGGGATAGCTGGGCTCCGAGTACCCTGGGGCCTTTCATGATTTGGGTTGGCAGTGTCCAGGCATGTCCCAGAGCAGACATTCTCAGGAAGGCAAGGGAGGGGAAGGGAAATGGAAAAGATGGCAGGACAGCATGGTTTACACTGCAAGGGACCTCCAGACCATTCAG